TCATTATTATATATATATATATATATATATATATATATATATATATATATTCAATTAATTAATTAATTAATAAGTGAATATCTCTAGCAACCACCACTGAGCACCACCATAACCTTCTTTTTTCACGGTACAAGAAATGAATACTAATTAAACCAAATAATTATGATCCCACTCTAACAAACCGGCATTATTTTCTGCCTCGACTTTAATATTTTATTAAAGGAGAAAAGAAAAATGATGCATTAATCTTCGAAATTTTATGTAAACCTTCTAATTATAGGAACAATAATTGTTGAGTCATTGTAAAGATTCCCTCGGAAAAAGAAATACATACATATATATATATATATATATATATATATGTGTGTGGCTATTATATATTTGACACGTATGTAAATAGTAAAGACAGGGCTCATATGAGAGTGATATATATGAAACAAGACGACAAATTACAACTGTGTCTACGTTTGCAATTTCTAACCATTTTTATAAATTATAAGATGACAAAAATAATTCTTAAAAAAAGGTGTGAATGGTTTTAATTTTGCGTGTATTATAAATGTTTTCAATTTTGTTACGTACTTGGCAATATATTGCAACAATGAAATTTGAAAGAAAGGATTATATATATATATATATATATAACCTAATACTAAGTAACAATGGTGAAATCCGATATTGCTTTAAGTTAAAAGCATGATTTAGTACATCAATTATGCAATGAAACAGAGGTCATAAAACGGTATACTTATAGTAAATCTTTAAATGCAATCACCAAATCTCTTTGATTTTTTCAAAAGTAGGCTTTCAATTTATTTTATGTTTATTTAAAAGATGACCGTAAACTCATTTACCAATTAAAACTCTGTAGTTATTTCACTCTTTCACGAAATTTTTTTGACGGCTTATTATAGCATTTCGCTCATATTTATTTTTGAATTATAAATTTTTATTTTAAAAAAATATATCTAATGAATTTTAAATGGATTTTTCTTTTTAATTTAGGTTTGGTTTTATTAAAACAATATTTTATTTTATAAAATTTTCAGATTTTCATTCATTTTATATTCAATAAGAGTTTTATTCCAAATCGGTTTATTTATTTTTTTAAACATATCTAATTGATTTTTAAATAGATTCACTGTTACACATATATAGGAAATTTTACGTGAGCATTTTTATATACACCATGAGATTATACAGTCATAGATGACATGGTTGGTTCGACGTTGAATCATGAACTCGTAAAAAAATATAATTTAATATAAAACAATTTTTTTTAATATAACGATTGACATTTTGCAGACAGAACAAAAGACGTTACAAAAATTACAAGACTTTTGCCAGCTGCAGTGTTCTTATCTACAATATTTGCCACGTTTTCATATAGATGACGTAATCGAAAGGAAAATACATATCTCTAATCGATCGGCCATTATCCTTATTATTATTATTATTACTAAAAAGAGATTTTGTTTGAATTATTTAGCTTAATTTATAACAATTATAACACTCTCTCTCGTTTCGATTGATGGGCGTAAACATGTTTTTGGGGTCAAAATGAAAAAAGAAAAATAACGTGACCATCGAAGTACAAGAGGATGAAATTTTAATGATTTTAGTTAATATACATGCAAAGTACCATATATTATGATAGAAATATATAATCATTATCATATATTATGATAGGAATATATAATCATTCTGCAAATCGGACAAATGTCCTAGACCTTTCGGACACATCTTACGCGGTAACTGTTGTATTATACGTATGCATGACTATAAATAACGTAAAGTCAAAAAATAAAAGAAGAATATCACCTCCCTCACATATACATATACATATATATATATATATCACATACATGCAACTCCGTCATTCATCATCATCATCATCATCGACTGCTGAATTCTCGTTCCGACATGAAAACCAAAGCCGGAAAGATGTTCGTTGAGATTATAGATTCCAGAATCTTTCTGATTCTCGTCCTTATGGGCGTTTCGGAGGCACAGCTCCAAGTGGGTTTCTACTCGAAGACGTGTCCCTCGGCGGAGTCCACCATCCGTACAGTCGTTCGACGTGCGGTGGCCGCCGACGCTGCTGCCGCCGCCAGATTGCTCCGTTTACAGTTCCACGACTGCTTCGTCGAGGTCCCTCTCTTCCTATGTTTTCTTCTCGCGTACTATACGTGTATATATGTATAGTGTGTATCAGTGTGTGTATGTATATGTCATACATTTAATAATATTGTAAATTTGAACTAGATTTGGTACGGGAAATCATGTAAATATATAGAAACCCCAGTATATGATGTGTAAACAACTCTAAAAATTAAAAATTATGTGAACTGTCCATAATTTTAATAATTGGTTTCAATCTTTATGCTATGGAAAATTGAATCAATGATTTGTTTTGCATACCAAAAAAGCAAGAAACCAAAGTCGGAACCCAAGAGTAAAGTTCTGGTCCGGTTTACAATTCTAACCGAACCATTATGAACCGGTTAAGTCTGACCATTTCTACCGACAAAACAATTTGCGTTTTGCATGTGTGTATCTCTCATTTACATTTCTAATTTCATTCTCCGGTTCACTCTTTTAACCTAACCGAACTTCAATCTTGCAAATCCATATATTCTCATGCTATATATATAGTCATTACACACACACACACACACACATATATATATATATATATGTATATTATATGTCGTCATATGTGTGTGTACGTTATGGTTGATATATTTTGTTGGTTTAGGGTTGTGATGCTTCGATATTGATAAAACACGAGCCGGACGAGAGGCAAGCTCATGGGAACCAAGGGGTCGGAGGCTACGAGATCATAGACGAGGCGAAAGCAGAGCTCGAACGTGCTTGCCCTGGCGTTGTGTCCTGCGCCGATATCGTCGCCCTCGCCGCTAGAGACGCCATTGTTCTGGTAATCCCAACTCAGTCATTCCACAGTACCAGATCTAGAAAAATTTATAATATATATTTTGTTGATCACTCGATACCATGAGTAATATTCGACATTATAAATAATTATTTGAACTCAATTTTGGGATTCGATCTCATTTTCGAATATCCGAGATACCCAAATGTAGATCGGGCCTGTTATCCGGTTTTTTGGCACGGTCGTATAGATGTATGTTACTTGTTGAAGAAGAAAAGCTTTGTTTGGGCAGACGAAGGGGCCGCCTTACGAGGTTCCGACAGGGCGGAGAGACGGGAAGGTCTCGAGCCTCGAGCTCGCCGCCAACTTGCCCGACGTCGATGATTCGATCAACGTTCTGAAGACCAAGTTTGCCGGAAAAGGGCTTTCAGACAAGGATCTTGTCCTCTTAAGTGCAGGTACCGTACATTATACAAACTCGGAAAAATTTCAAATTTCAAAATGTCCCAAGAATATCGATTCACAGGAGCACACACGATCGGGACAACGGCCTGCTTCTTCATCACATCACGTCTCTACAACTTCTCCGGCGGCGGCGGCGGAGGAGGAGCAGATCCGGCGCTAAGCCCGGAATTGCTTCGGAATCTAAAGGCGAAGTGCCCGTTCGGCGGCGACGTAAACGTGAGAGTTCCGTTGGATTGGGGAAGCGAATCTCTGTTCGACGATCACATCTTGCGGAACGTCAAGACAGGTTTCGGAGTGATCGCTTCCGACGCGGTATTGATCGGAGACATAGGTACGAGGAAGATCATCAACTCGTATCTGACTAGGGTTCCGACCAGGAGGGCTAATTTTCCGGCGGATTTCGCCGGAGCTATGGTGAAGATGGGGAGCATCGGCGTTAAGACTGGCGTCGAAGGAGAGATTAGGCGCGTTTGTAGTGCTACTAATTAATGGGGATTAATATTAAATACATTATTATAGCCATCAGTGTTTAAGTAACTAATGAAGTATAATTATATGTTATATAAATCTATTTTAATCGGTATTTAATTGCTTATACTACTATATATACACACACTAATTATATATTATATCTATATCTATTCATGGTTATGATTTTTTTAAAACCAAAATATAATCCTAATTTGTAACGAATAAAAAATAAAAAATAAAAACCAAAATCTTTTTAAAAATGAGTATTTTTGTCGATAAAACATAAAATCAGACCAGATTTAAATGGAATATAACTGAATTACTGAAATAAACTGAACCAAATTCAAAAATAATAATAGAAGAATTATAATGTTTTAAAATCGAAATAACCTAATCTAAATATAACCAGACCGAACAATGAGCCACCTTCATTAGTAATTAATTATATATAATATGTAAACGGTTATACGTTTCTGGGCAATTAAATTGGGCCTAATGGGCCTAATGTGAATGTATCGGTTAAGCTGAAATCGAATCATCCCATCAAACGGCGTCGTTTATAGATCGTCGTCTTCAGAAAGATCTGAGCAATGTCTCTGCTCTAAGAAGCAACCGAGCGAGAGAGAGAGATGGCGAGTTTAACTAGCAAACCCAGAAACTTTGGCGCGTACAGCCACTCCACGACTCCGTGCACTCGCGCGCACCAGATCGGGGCTCTTTTCCTCGTAGTCGTTACCTTCTTCGTCACGAGGCTTTTCGATCAGTCGCTTTCCGGCTGCAACTCACTCTCATCGCTCCGTCATTCTTGGCCTGCCCGAATGATGGATGGCAGCGGAACTTTCCCGTGGCCGGAGCGAGGGTATGGGTCCCACCTTTCCCTGAAGATCTACGTATACGACGAGAACGAGATCGACGGCCTGAAAGAGCTTATGTACGGCAGAGATGGAAGTGTCAAGACCGCCGCTTGTCTGAAAGGCCAATGGGGTTCTCAGGTAAAAACTAGCTTTTTCTAATCTCTCACGATTTTGGATTTCCGACATTTGAGCTATAGTTTTATCCACATTGAAACAACGATTGGATTCTGTCTGTTGGAATAGCAAAAAGTCATCACCAATGTAATTATCCGAATTTCTCCCACACTGTACTTTTGGAGACAGAAATTGGAACTGTAGCTTTTGATTGAAAGAATGGTGCTGCTCTATCTCCAGGAAGATGAATTTTCCGATTGGATTATTGTCAATTGTGTATATTATTTATGATTTTGTTGATTAGGCTTTCATTGGTGAATGTGTTATGATGGTAATTTGGTTTTCATCTCCTGTTAAATCGATTCAGGGCGTACAGTTAAGCTTTTGCTTATGCTTTGTTAATGCTAGGTTAAAATACACAAGTTGCTTATGGAGTCGAAGTTTAGGACAAGAAGGAAAGAGGAAGCGGATCTGTTCTTTGTGCCGGCTTACGTGAAATGTGTAAGAATGATGGGAGGTCTTAACGATAAGGAGATCAATCAGACATATGTGAAGGTGAATGAATTTTGTCATTCCCTGCTTCTTGATTTAAGCTATAATGATAAGTTTTGCTATTTACCTACTGTTTGATCTCCAGGTTTTGAGTCAAATGCCACATTTCCGGAGGTCGGGGGGTCGGGATCACATATTTGTTTTCCCGAGGTATGCAATCCAATCCAAGATTCTTTTTCTCGTTCTTTTCTTGTATCGGATTTTACCAAAGAAACTGCTTTGATGCATTGGATGATCGGAGTTTGTTTACGGAATCAAAGCGGGTGTTTGATTTTTTACAATGAAATTGCAGTGGGGCTGGAGCTCACTTGTTCAGATCATGGTCGACTTTCATCAACCGTTCCATCATCCTCACTCCCGAGGTAACTTAGCTTCTTTTTTCTTCTTTGTCATTGCTATCCGGCTTGTTCATTCCTTGTGAATGAAGCATAAGCAGTAGCAACAGCATAAAATGAAGGCCAAGGTCGAAAACCATAGTCAATCTCCTCATCTTCTCCATCCATTTCTCAAATCTTTATACTGTTTTTGGAATCTTTCTGTGGATTGGGACATTGGAGTAAATTGCAAGGAATTTGGGTTACTTGTGGAATCATGAAATGCCATAATAAATTATAGCTTCTTAGAGATCATTTTTTTCGGTCGTTTTATGGAAATAGCGAAATCTTTTTTCGATCTGTTCAGGGTGACAGGACTGACAAGAAAGATACAAGTGCCTTCAATACATGGAAAGATATAATAATTCCGGGGAATGTCGATGATAGCATGACTAGAAATGGACCGCCTGTTGTTCGGCCTTTGCCTCTATCGAAGAGGAAATATTTGGCTAATTATTTGGGTCGTGCTCAAGGGAAATCCGGTCGGCTTAAGTTGATTGAGCTATCAAAGCAAAACCCAGATAAGGTAAGGCCCCTTTAGAACCAATCTTGATTTATTTGAACAGATGCGTAGTTTTCGGATCTTTCTGTATTTGATTTGCGGGAAACAAAATTATGCTTACTGACAATGTGAACAGTTGGAATGTCCAGACTTGAAGTTCAGTGGGAATGAAAAGCTCGGGAGGTCGGAATATTTCGAACATCTGAGGAATGCCAAGTTCTGCCTCGCTCCCCGTGGAGAATCGTCATGGACTCTTCGCTTTTACGAGTCTTTCTTCGTGGTAATCCCTCTCTCTCTCTCTCTCTCACTTGCCAATTCATATTATAACAAGTCGCTTCTCAGTACTGTAAAATCTTGATTAACGGGGGCAGGAGTGCATCCCGGTTATATTGTCAGACCAAGTGGAGCTGCCTTTCCAGAATGTAATCGATTACGCCCAAGTATCCATCAAATGGCCATCGACTCGGATCAGCGATGAACTTCTTGATTACCTAGCTTCAATATCAGGTGAGAGTTATATTTTCTGAAACCTACCCGTTTTTCTTGACAAGATTCTCGTTATGCCCAGTTTCTCAAGTTTAGAGATTTCCCGGACATGTTCTTCAGACAAAGACATCGAAGGGATGATTGCCCGAGGGCGGGAAATAAGGTGTCTGTTCGTGTACGGCCCGGAATCCGGACGGTGCACTGCCATTGACGGGATTCTGTGGGAGCTTCAGCGAAAAGTGAGGCGATTCCACCAGTCGGCCGAGACGTTTTGGCTTCACAATGGCAGTGTTGTGGACAGAGATCTCGTCGAGTTCAGTCACTGGAAACCTCCATTGCCGCTTCCATGATATGATCTGTTGTTCTTCAGATGCATTAGCCACTAAGGAAGGTTAATTTTGTGTGAACTTCCAAAGGTTTTTGTACATTACCACACGAGTGAATGTTAGCAAAGATTTCTTCTTTTGTTCATCGCCTTAAAAATAAAAGGATAAAATAAAAAATATCTTTCCAATTCAGAAAATGCCTTTTGTTTTAAATTCATCATACTAAAAAAAAGATCAATTATCAATTTTGAATAAAATCTACTATGCAATTCAGTTATATTTTAAAAAGAATAATTGATTTAGCCCAATTTTATTGGGTTGTTTTTAAATAGATGGAGTAAATGGGTTTAGCCCATTTAAATTATTGGTTTAGAGGGTTTACCCAATTGCATATTTAGACTAAGATTGTTATATACTATATACAAATAGATACACACAACTATATACATACACATAACTATATACATACATACATACATACGTAAAACATACTTATATACACATACATACATATATATGCAGGCACACATACATACATATATATACGTATATATTTACACACACATGCATATGCATGACCCACCTACACAGCGCAAAATCAGTGTGACCCACCTGCTTAGGTAGGGGCACATTCAGCCCTTAATATGACTGTCAAATGAGCCCAAACTCCAAAGGGGTATACGAATCATTTCTTCCTGTAATTGTCTATGGAGCTCTTTTAATTCATCCCAAAGCGGTTCAAAGACAATGGCAGATTGGTAAGTAATCAATGATTGCATAATTTTTTTTAGTGTATTATTAATATCTATGTGATGCATGGTGGGTCCATCTTGTTCTTAGGATGAGAACCCATTTTTTGGCATCTTAATTCTATTTAACGTTATTACTTGTGGGTTGTGTAATGTCATAATATATATATATATATATATATATATTTTTTTTTAAAAAAAAAGTCAAATCATGTAAGTATATGTAATGAGCTATTCTCGAGCTTATTATAACTACGTTAAAAGCTGATACATATTCAACATAATAGCACCGTATGTATCCAACAATTTTGGTTATATGAGAATATTCAGAATAACTATATCTATCTATATATATTGATAATTTAGAAATTTACCGTGCTTTCGGCTCAACTACATCTTTTGGAGGATAGAAAAACTCATGTGAATATCTCCCACCAAATGAAGATTCGAACATGAGTTGAGAAAGAGTTATGTCCCTTTGAACCATCTAATATTGGATGAAATTTGACTATATTCTTCAGCATTAGAACAAAAATCCAACTCGTTAGTACATGGACGATATATGTATTATCCATTTGGTATTATCTAGATACTTTTCACTTCGCACAAATGTTGTCTAGTTGATGATTGATTACCAAACTATGTCGGCATGTTCATTTTTTTTAAAGGATTATCGAGAAACACATCTAATTGATAATTTCTTACCACCCCACCACCCAAAAAAAAAAGTATACCACATCAGTATTTAATAATGTCAGATATGAATACGATATACCACACCAGTATTTAATAATAAATGGAGTCGGCTTAAGAAATGATGGGAGGTTTTAAAGACATGGAGAGCAACCCGACATATGTGAACAGATAGATATATGTGAAGGTGAATAAATTTTGTCATTCCATGTTACTTGATTTAATCTATAACGATAAGTGTCACTATTTATCTACCCTTTTATCTTCAGGGTTTAAGTCAAATTCTAATATTTTTATGGATTGATTTGAATATTATAATTTTAAAATTTAATTGTATTTATAAATTGTTTGTCCAATTATAATGAGCCTTATGTGAATGTATCAGTTTAAACGATGTCGTTCCGAAATCGCACGCACCAGACGGGGGCTCTTTTCCTTGTAGCCGCGTTACCTTCTTCGTCACTGAGGGTTTTAAATACAAAGAAATACCACCGTGGCAAAGGGTCGCTCATGGTTTTTGTTCCTTGGTAGATTTTCCGTACTCTTTTACTTTCTCCTTCTCGGAATTTGGCTTTGGTTTTGTTCCGAATGTGGTTTTCGAATACGAAACATTTTAATGTCCTGGAAGAAGTGTTTTGGGGTACATTTAATCCTTTTGCCACTATTAAGTAATGATTAAACTTTTAACACAAATTTTGATTGTTTAGCGTGTATAGATATATATACATACATGAATACACTCTTAACAAATTCTTACAAACAAAATCAATTGTTTCAAAGATGGACAATCGGATAACAAGGTCGTATTGCGATCTCACATACCCCATCCGGGTCTCCAATGTTACGTGCCATCGTTATAACGTTGTCTTCTCCCCAATCAGGGCCCATGAATTCTTCAGAATCCAGTAGGCTTGGTCATCCTTTGTTCCATACCCGAATATTATCAATGCATGGTTCAATGTTTTCCCACAAGGACCTTTAAATATCCATCCAATTAATATGGTATCATTAGATTATTTGATAAAACAATTTTCAAACCAAATAATCCAAATCTTACCCCGTCATATTCTGTTATCCATTCGAGACGGACCTTGACACTCACAGATACATGCTGGCGAGCAACTCTTTTTTTAAGAGCATATTCGTCACGCGGTTTCACTGTCCCGGCATCATCGATCATAACTTTATTTGGATATGCATCAGCAAAGTTCCACTCATTCCAATCCTTGATTTTTCGTAACTAAAAATATAAAGAAACACATTAATTCATTATTCAGAGCAAACACACATACACACACACATATATATATATATACCTCGTCGTCCGGACACTTTCTCTAACCATTTGTTAGAGATATTCGTCTTTTGAGTAGATTCCCATGTACGTTATGAACTCAAAGGCCTTTTTGTGCGAAACATCCTTTACAACTATGGTTACCTTTATTGCAGTCGATCAAGTATTGCTCGGACAAAGAGATACGCTTCCCTCTCATAATCCGGTTAATACTCTCCACTGCACCCGCTGCCGAAAATGCCCAGCAGCTGTCTTCAATATTCAATATTTGTAATACACATTACAATACATTAAAAAAAGAATTCACAAGTCAAGTACTTGAACAATAAACTTACCACATTAAAATTGATGTTTAACCAGTCCTACAGCATCGAGCTCCCTCCAGTCAATGGATGATGGTATATCTATCCAGCTATTATCGTCGCCGTGGAGCTCATTAGACATGTCGTCCCGTTCCACATTGGGTATAATGCACTCATAGAGTATTATAAATTCTTTCAGGGGTTAAATCACTAAATGGATTTAACTCTTTCGTGTGACTGTTATTGTTGGCGATATTGTGTTTGTCGATCAACAACAAATTTTGTTTAAACATCGAGAAACATTTTTGTTTTTCGTTCATGTCTTTGTAAACGTTGACTTTGTAGCGTTTGACAATCCACTCCTTAAACATGAGGAGGATTTCGGACTCCGATCGGTTTGTATTGTTGGTGGCATTAGTGGAAAGTGAGAGAAAAATGGTTGCGATGGCTAGAATTAGAATTGTCATTTTTGTGTATAAAGATTGGATATGGAATGGAATTTTGAGAGGAAATGAAGTGTTTATGTAAGAGAGATGATGTTTGTTTAAGGATTTCATGAAAAATTGTGATCAAACTACTTATATTAGTTACTTGTTAGGAATTTCATGAAAAATAGTGATCAAACTAGTCACAAACTAAAAAGATTGAAACTGAGGGTGTGACATATATATACACAATCACTACACATCTTTATCATATTAAATTGATGAATCTCACTCTCATTCGATAATTATTTTGGTGTTTCCAAGATTTTCTTACAAACAAGGTTGACAGTTCAAAGTTAAAAGGACAAGCCAATATATTAATATACATACAAACTCGTTGTTTCGTTATTATATAGAATTTGATAAAGATTCAATTGAATTTAGATTCTGCAATGAAAATTGGTTCCAATTTAGAATGTGAAACATGTATTTAGCCTAATTAACCATCTGAACAATCCATGTATTTTCTCTCAATCTTCCTTGATTTGTTCCAATTCTCTTGATGCGATCAGATCTTCTTGTGTTAATCAAATGTTCTTTGTGTTTTTATCCCTATCAAACTATTTGCAATTAAAATTGATTTAGTTACTTGTAAGAGAATTTTACGAAATTAGTTATTAGTTTGATCTTCCGTGGAATTCTCTTACAAGTAACTAAATCAATTTTAAGTGCAAGTAGTTTGATAAAAATAAAGACACAAAGAATATTTGATTAACATAAGAAGATCTGATCACATCAAGAGGGTTGGAACAAATCAAGGAAGATTGAGAGAAAATACATGGATTGTTGAGATGGTTAATTAGGCTAAATACATGTTTAACATTCCAAATTGGAACCAATTTTCATTGCAGAATCTAAATTCAATCGAAATTCTATATAATAACGAAACAACGAGTTTGTATGTATATTAATATATTGGCTTGTCCTTTTACCTTTGAACTGTCAACCTTGTTTGTAAGAAAATCTTGGAAACATCAAAATAGTTATCGAATGAGAGTGAGATTCATCCGTTTAATATGATAAATATGTGTGTGAGTGTGTATATATATGTCACACCCTGAGTTTTAAGCTTTTTGATTTGTGACTAGTTTGATCACCATTTTTCATGAAATTCCTAACAAGTAACTAATACAAGTAGTTTGATCACAATTTTCCATGAAATCCTTAAATAAGCATCATCTCTCCCCTATATAAACACTTCATTTCCTTTCAAAATTCTATTCCATATCCAATCTTTATACACAAAAATGGCAATTCTAATTCTAGCCATAGCAACCATTTTTCTCTCACTTTCCACTAATGCCACCAACAATGCAAACCGATCGGAGTCCGAAATCCTCCTCATGTTTGAGGAGTGGATTGTCAAACGTCACAAAGTCAATGTTTACAAAGACATGAACGAAAAGCAAAAATGTTTCTCGATCTTTAAACAAAATTTGTTGTTGATCGACGAACACAACATCGTCAACAATAACAGTCACAGAATTGGTTAAATCCATTTAGTGATTTAACCCGTGAAGAATTTATAATATTGTATGAGTGCATTATATATACCCAATGTGGAACGAGACGACATGTTTAACGAGCTCCACGACGACGATGATGGTTGGATAGATATACCGTCATCAATTGACTGGAGGGAGCTCGATGCTGTAGGA